TGTGCACTTATGGTGCGATCACGTAACGACCGTCGCCATCGCCGCCAAGTGCACTTTTAATTTCATTTGATCTTGGTTGTAAAGTTGTCCGAGCCACATGTGAGGCAACCAGGCAACCAGGCAACCAGGCAACCAGTACCTGTTGGCCTGCGGAGCGACAATTGCAGATCGGATTAGGCCATGCTTGGCCTACTGGCCAACCAACTGGCTGACTGGGTTTCTGAGTGTCAACGCAGTGACCATCGCGACGAGTGGGCAAGCGGAGCGACACGAATTTTGAGTTACGGCACCAATTAAGACATTGCAAAATCTGCGTCCGAGCCTCAGTCTTGGATTTCTCGCCATGAGCTTGTCGCGAGCACTGGAGCATGCCCAACGCACCCCATTGGCCCGGTGTCCTTCGGTTTCCATTTCAGTTACAGCTCCAGGTCCACTTCCAGTTCCTACTCCACCAACCCACCAGGTAAACCTGATCGAAAGCCGTTTCCACGCTGACACGCTGACCCGCATCCGACAAATACGCCTGGTTATTAGAAGGCGTGGACTTGGACCTGGGTTAACAGGCTGGACTGGCACCTATAATCTTCTGGCTGGCGGAGCAGATCATGGGCAGTCGCTCCATGAGATGAGGCGACAAATGAAACTGAAACCGGAGCCCGCTTTTGTCTGGCCATAAAAACTAAACATCAAAGTGCGACTATAATTTCATTAGTACACTGCGGGGAAAAACAGCTAGTTCAGACTGGTTTTAATTCAAAACACGCCCTGAGAGGTAGAGGGAATTGCGACAGAGTCGTCTTTGTTTCTGATTTTTATAGTCCAGTTCTAGGGAATTAAATTGAATTACAGGAAATGTTTACTTTATATACTTATATATTCTTGATCACCTTTAACAACTGAGTCGCAGAAGATTTCGAGATCAAGGCAACTATAATGGATAGAGAATAGAAATTTGAAATGTGAAAGCAACCTAAGCTCAAGCCATGTATATATTCTTGACTTTAAAAACAGAAATATTTCTTTTCAGTCACTTAGTAAAATTTTAAAGCGATTGTAAAACGTTAAATGACTATAATTTATAATTTTAACAATAGCTTTAAAATTTTAATATGTGATTAAAAATAAATATTTCTGGTTTTTGTACGATTAGAGCAAGAAAATAATAGAAGTTGTTGAAGTTTTTTGTAATAAAAACCCGATTTGAAATCGATTTCAAAAAAGTAGACTATGATATTATGTTTTAAAGTTTTTCAAATTATATCTAAAGTTAAAAAAGATACCATAAATTCTCCCTCACGTTTCTCCTAGTGTAAAACTTGTGTCATTTTTGCTGTGTAATTTTTATGGCCAACAAACAGTGGCTGAATGTCTTGGGCCCAAATTAAATGCGCTAATCGCTTTAGCATTGGCACAAGAATGGAAAGCCTGCGGCCAAGATCGGAGCCATTAAGCCTAGTTCATTGCTGAGAGACCATAAATTCAGTTTGATACCAAAGACTGCGGCAGCGAACGTGTTTTTTGAAAGTGAAATTTCGGAATCTGGCACGGCACAGGGCAGACATGTGTTAACCCCAACCGGGAGATTGCCTCACAGCTCAGCTTAGCCCGCCTGACACGCTTATCTTGGGCAGCACAGCAGCACACTCTCGATCTGGCAGAGTGAGGTGAGCGGCAATTATTGCCATTTCGAGATCAGAGCTTCGGCATCAAAACTCCCCTTAAGGCCCGACCATACAGCGATAAAACGATTCCCGGATAACTGCAAGTCATAGGAACCACAATTTATATAGCACTTGACGCCGAGATTGCATGCCTGGCGACAGCTGCACTCGCTGGAGAAGAATGGGGGACCAGGCGGAGCCTGGATTTCCCAGTTTCCCAATTGGGAAATGGCCGAAAAAAATGCCTTCTGCTACTTGGAGTGGAGCCTAACCAGTTTGGAGCAGGCACAGATGTCAACAAAGCGATAATAAAATCAAAAAGTGCATTAAGTAGAGAAAATAGTCACGAAGTCGTGGTGGTATTTCGGTTGCAAAATCCATAGACACAGATACAGGTGGGGCTAGCGAGAGCCAAGGACTTTTCTTTGAGTCTTCGACGGTTCATCGATTTTAAGCTCATTAAAATAAATCCATAAACATAGACAAAGAGCCTTGGACTGCGTCTTAATCAGATGGATGGATGTTGGGCTGGCTTCATTGACAAACTGTTAACAGATTTTAGTGGCACACTAAACGCTCTTCGCTTCGAGCTTCTGTTTTAATTAATTGCTAAACCTATTGGCTATTTTTCGCACCTTCACTTGGCAACAGCGGCGGACCCTTTCGCAGGCAGTCGGATGGATAGATAGCTGCACGGATATCTAGATAGTTTTCGAGCCGCAGATACTTTTGGCTGACCCGCGCTCACCGAATGCTAAACACAAACTGATCGCACCTGGCTGCGGAACTAACGAAAAGAGGCCCGCAAACTCAAAACAAACCTAATGGAAAATAAAACGAAAACGACTTCAGGCCAAACTATGTATATCGCATCGGCGTTGGCTAGCTGGGATCCGAGAGATCTCTCGGTAACTAGCTGCTGAGCCAGTGCAGCGGGGCGAGAGCGAGACTCGAGCAGTGACACACGAACCCGGGCCAAACCTGGCCTGCACTGAGCAGGGGCTTCCCCCCCTAAAACCCACCTGGCCCCGCTTAACCCCTTCGAGGCAACAACGGTCAGGGGTTGGACTACTACTGTGTTCTCACTCTAAGTAAACGATTTTCGCTTAGTGGCTACGTTTACCAGTTTTACCAGAGAACCTCTCCGCTCATCCCATCACCATCTCAGAGACGCTGCACTTGGCACATGATGCAACTGCAACTGTAAATGCAACTGCTACTGCAGCCAAAAATTGAATTCAATTCACCATGCGTTGCGCATACGCAGTGTGTGCACCCGCATTAGGGAAATCATTCAGATAGCCCTGCCATTAATGCCACCGAACCGGATCGCCGTATGGGTTGGCAGGTGGGTGAGTGTTACGGCGAAAAGTGGAAGAGTAAGCCTGCTTTATGACACACACATAAATCCCCATTGCGCGCCGGCCATTAATTAGACGCAGACGGACCTTGTTAGTTACAGTTGTTGGTCAGCGGATGAATTTGAATCCGAATCGGAGTCGCAGCGGAGAAGCGTGGCCAGAAAGAGGAGCTAGCGACAATTTGACAATGGCATTGACATCGAAACACCGTCGGAGTAGCAGTTACTTTAGTGGTTGGCTTTATTTTTTGCCAGGGCTGCGGCTAATCGGACTTATCGAAGTCTGGCATAGACGAGAGTGAAGGTGGAATGGAGGAGTAGCATCATCATCAGCCGACGACCCGACCTTTGCCCAACTCGCCTGACCCTGTGACTACAAATTTGCCAAAAAAATAATCCACATCTCTGAGTGGTTTGTATTTTAATAATTATTATTTGTAGAGATCGTGGTCTGTCTCTTCTATACAATTTCACTTTCAATTTAAATCGCAGCACAAGTAGAGTATAAATTTGTTTATAGAATGGTGAGGAGGAGGAATATCTAGGGACAGATTACTTATTCAAAATTTAAGCAAATTGCTTAACATGAACTATATGGATTTAAATTCCAAATTTAGCATGACAAAGACGTTTTGATATTACAAAACCACAGATTAAGGGAATCTAGAAGGAGCAACAGAACCAGCTTGGCCAAGATCATAATGCTTTGTGGTCTAGTCAATGGCTTACGGCTGCGGCAGACTCTTTTAAAAATGCGCAAAACATTTGTAACTGGGCGACTGGCACACGTCTCGAGTGAGTCTTGGCCTGGTCAACAAACCCAGGCCGCTTTGAACTTGAGCTGGCCTCATCACCTCGCATATTTCTCAGCTGATTCTCTGTTTTCCGCAGCTATTTATGCAAATGAAGCCAAACCGATGGACGATATTATCGAACGTGTTTGTATTGATTTTGGGCGATCGTTAAGAGCGCATCCGACACAATAAACTTGGCGACAACGAGCCCAGTGAAGTGACTCGGCAAACTGACACATTTCTGCCCAGTCATGCGTGGTGGCTACCATTGATGGAACGCCTCAGTCCGTCGGAGACTGGTCTCCGTCTCTTCGAAACTTTGGCCGTAATTACAGACTTCCGCCTTTGAACAGTTTCGCAGCCCCACCCAGGAGGCGAGGCTCTAAAGAAGCTGGAGGAGATGGGGCCTGGACTGGGGCATGGGTGTTGATGAGACGCCAGAGGCGCCACAATGTATCCTGTTACAGGTTACAGGGCCATAAAGCGCCATAAACGCCTCTCGCAACGGCAAGGGCAAATTATAACGCATACGGACACGTAGTCGATCCACTTGCCGCCGGCTAATTGGACGTGCCCGGCCAGGCCGCCCCCTGCTCTTTGTTTGTGTTCTTACTCCTGTTGCTACTCCTGCTGCGGCTTAAAAGTGGGCGTAACATAACAATTGTGGGCGATTTGCATACAATTTGGTGCTCGAGTGGCCAGCAAACTGGCGACGGAATGTTGCCACGTCACTAGTGTTGCTTTGTTGGCCGCCTAATAAGTCAACATGAATGCCTGGCTGCTTTGCTGCCTTTTGTCCCGCTGACAGCGGCCCTGACAGCCACCACAACAAACCTATCAGCGGCCAGGCAGACTGACTGACCAGTGTCAAGGTTTTTTTTGTGTGTTTCTCTGCTAATTTAAGCCCCAGTGACTAGCAGTTTAAACACGGAAAAACTGCAGTGGTAACAAAAAGCCAAAGGAAAGCCAGCCAGGGCACACAATGCCCGCACAGCAACATGTTGCTGCAGCACTTGTTGCGCGCGCCCACACAGCAGCCACAGGAAAAAGAACAGCAGCAGCAGCAGCAGCACAGGAGGAGCCACAGCAGCCGCAGCAGCAGAGGTTTGGCGTCACTTGCCATTGTTGCCGCAAAAGGAAAGCGTATAAAACAGGATGTTTCGGCAAACATTCGCCCAGAACCATTTCACATTCAGCCGGGCAACAAGTGTGTGTTTTTAAGAGTGCGAGCGGGCTCCCCAAAAAACAGTTTATCCCGATTCCGACCTCATCCTAGATCCCAGAGTTTCTAAAGGTAAGTTTGCCTAGAGATTTATCTGAAATATTTCCAGAGAATGCAACAAACTATGGGGAAACTTGTTAATAGGGCAAGTTAAGTCTTAGTTAAAAGCTAAGCAGTATAATTCATAGAATGTGTGAAATATTTAACTGACAATCAAAATTCTACAACTTAATTGACTATTTTTTATAGTAAATTCAATTATTAAGGCCTTGGTCATCAATACGTTATTTAATCTCAATTTAATAAAGGTTTCTTTAAAGTGAAACTTTTGAAAAATAAGACCTCATATAAAGGAGTGTTGGGGTATTTTAGTTACTTTTAGAAATGTTGGAAAATGTAAAACTGATACTAAATTTGTTGAAGAAAATTAATTTCTTTTGTAGGCTTTAATTATTCGTAAAAATAAATCATTCCTTAATATGTGAACGGGATATAATCCATTGTTTTGCACTATTTTAAATGATTTGAAATCATTTTTAATGGAAACCCAAAAAATTACAATTTTAAGGAACTTTAAAACATATTTCAGCTTCCCTTTTACTCTAATTTTAGTTAATATTTGAGGATAATTTGTTTTTATAGAACTTGTTATTGATTTTAGTAATTAATTTGTGATTTTTACATTTATACATATTACTTATCAGCCTTAACATAAGAGGTAAGCAAAAAACAAAACTAAATTTGCTAAATGATAATTCGGTTCCTGTAAACTCCCAACCTAAATATGATTTGGTAATCCCCTAATTGTGTTCATTTTTAATTGGCTAAAATCACACTCTGCACAGCTAAAACGAACTTTACTTTTCGACAATTGTCGCCTCCACGAAAAATTCGCTTAAGCCCTGGCAAAAACCCACCGAGGAAATAGTTTTTCCTCAAACAAAGCTGGAACACATACGGAACCACCATTTCGGTTAATGAAGGCAAATTGAAATATTTATGGTGGCACTTCTGGGGCCGAGGGGCGATAGTGTCGGAGCAGCCGAGCGGCGCTAGATTTTCATTTGCATTCACTGGGAAAAAAGCACGCTGGTTGGACACTCACAGGTGTCGACGGCAGGTGCTCAAGAGGAACCTTAGTGCGACGAGGTGTGCAGCATTTTTGATTTATCACTGACAATGGCTCCATTTCCCGGACAAGTGAAATGCCTCGCGCAATCATTTGTCTCTGGAATCGTCTCAGTGTCCCTCACCTCTGACAAATGATATTTAAATGCCCAGCGAGGATAATCCAGGTGCTGGTGTTGCCAGGGGAGCAGCTACTTCAAACGTATCAAACATATCGCATATGCAAATCAGGTTACCCGATTTTCGGGGCCTCATCATCCCTCGCCTGCGCGATGGCTAAGCGAATTAACGAGTGTGTTATTGATACCACCGCCCCCCACTAACACCCCCCTGTTCGAGCCCGAAATAAACAAGGCACACACACACGGACACACAAGTGACTCTTGTACTCATATTTGTGAATTTTAAATGCACATTTCGGCATCGCAAATCAATCAGGCATTTGGCAATTGTTGTCTACCCACTTCAGATCCGCTGACTCCTTGTCCGACTCCGGCTGGAGAGGCTGTCGGCTGTCATAATTCCCCAGAAGTATGGAGCATTGCAACATTTCCAGTTGGAGCCCATAAATTAAGCGACGCCTGACTAGTTGCCTCTTTATGGGGACCCTTGAGTGGGGAATGTTGCAACTTCCCAGCTAGCTGCAACCACTAAAGAAGCCTAACAAACTGCACTCTGCAAACTGCAGGCCATTAAACTCTCAGATTTTGTATTCAAATCCAAAAACAAATTCGCACTTCTTGAATGAAGCCCTGATTGCCCGCGACATCAAATTAAGCGAGTACCGTCGAATGTATGTTAATGCTCGGCGCGGTTGCGAAGTCCAAGCCTCTGCTCATCAGCCAACCGCCGTCTTGGAGGTCAAGTTTTTGTTATGAGTTGTCTGGGCAAGTTTTTAATTTTTTCCCCAGCCATTCCCCAATCCATGGCTCACTCAACGCGACGAAAAGAAGTGCTAATTTGCCACTGTTTGCCAGTTTGGAGAAATCCCCGAGTGACGATGGCTTCGCATCTCTCCTGCAACCTGTTGCAGCTGTCTGGCTTGACATGGCACTCAGCGGATCAGGGTGCCATAAACAGGCTCCTCCTCCTCAGGCCGGAATCAAGAACCCAGAACTGAGAGCCCAGCAACGGCACCGTCACCGTATCCAAAAGCCATAATCATTTGCATCTCTAATGGTGCTGCTGTGTTGTCGTCGCCGTAGTCCGGACACCATACATCAACTGCCCCCATACCGCGCCCACTCCAGCTCCTGCCTTGAACAAGTGTTAATGCCTGTAAACCTGGCCGCTGTTTGGGTTATGTGGCAGCGTGGGTGGGGGTGGGTGGCTGCACTCAGAAAACCATTTGCCCTAGAACCCTAAAATCTATAATTTTTAATGGGTACAAAATTATTCTAGGACATTGAACTTTTCCTAAGGAAGCTTAAAGGTGTTGGTGTTGTTTTTTAGCAAACTAAGACTAGGCCATTTGAAAGGCAACCATTTTAGATTTAATTTTTCTCCGAGTGTAGCTCGTGCCTCCTGCGGCTATTGCTGTGGCCCATAATGTGGTTAACTTTTTACGCGCTGCTCAGGCGGATTTGCCCATAAATATCATGATGGTTAATTAGCAGGACACTTTGTCTGCAGCTTGGGCGGCCAGAGCAGAGAGAGAGAGGGTTGAGACCAAGCCAAGTCTACGGTTACTCTAAGTAAAATGAACGCGTTAATGTGATTAAAACTTGCAATAGATTGTCCTAGGCGGCGGCATCTCATAATTATCCTTTATTTCCTTGCAGATGGGCATTGCCTTGATGTTCCTGCTGGCCCTGTACCAGATGCAGTCGGCCATCCACAGCGAGATCATCGAGACGCCCTCGTACGGCGGCAATTCGCTGCTGGAAACGGACGGGGACAACGGTCTCAGTACCCCGCAAGCACCGCTGGACAATGACCTTATGAATGCGGTTCTGAGCAGCGATCAGCCCGAGAAGGCGGAGCTGGAGTTCCGGCATCCCATCTCGGTGATCGGCATCGATTACACCAAGAATGCGGTGCTCCTGCGTTTCCGGAAGCCGCGCTACAAGTTCGATCCGGAGCTGGAGGCCAAGCGACGGTCCTTGGCCGACAATTTCATGCACTTTGGGAAGCGGCAAGCGGAGCAGCTGCCGCCCGAGGGCACTTACGGTGCCCCCGATGAGCACGATGGCATGGAGAAACGATCGGGCATGGATCGATATGGCAGGGATCCCAAGCAGGACTTTATGCGCTTTGGCAGGGATCCCAAGCAGGACTTTATGCGTTTTGGAAGGGATCCAAAGCAGGACTTTATGCGCTTCGGACGCAATCCCTCGGACTTCATGAGGTTTGGTCGGGATCCCAAGCAGGATTTCATGCGCTTTGGTCGCTCTCCTGCTGAGGATTTCATGAGATTCGGGCGACCGGACAACTTCATTCGTTTTGGACGCAATCCCCACGAGGAGCTGCGCAGTGTGAAGCAGGACTTTATGCGCTTCGGGCGTCCCGATAACTTTATGCGATTTGGACGCTCTGCTCCGCCCCAGCTGGACTCCAACTTTATTAGGTTTGGCAAGAGCGTGAAGTCTGCAGCTTCTGAGTCCAAGGAGACCAAGTCAGGACAGCCGGGCGATAGTAATTCCGTGGACAAGGCCGTGACAGAGCTGTTCAAGAAACAGGATCAGCAGGTGAAAGGCGGCGAACAGACCTCGACCTCGACGGATGAGGGGAGCGCAGAGCAGGATCAGTTCTTTGGCCAGTGAAAGAACGAGTCCTTCGAGGCGGCGAATCCTTGTAAATAGAAGATAATGATTGACAAACTACCCAAGACACAAATCGTAACTGATATACGTATACTCCCTCCTCCCCACACGAACTCCTGATAGATTATGAATTTTTAATGGGGCTGGATTAAAAATTCACCACGCTTTGATCTGATCATACCAAAAAACTAACTTTATCTATAAATATATGTATACTTAGTGTAAAATGAAATGCATTGAAAAACGGTGTGAAAAAAAACTTCTTTTTGCCAAGTTTCCAAATAAAGATTGCTCTACGGTAAGTTGGGTTTTTTGCTTTGTTTTTAAATGGAAATACTATTTCGCATTGGTAAGCTTAAGAGTTAGTAAGTAACTTATTAACATTGATATTATTTTATTTATTTATTGTACACTGTACGCAAAGTTATTGATATTATTATTATTAAGTTAATCAAAATTCATACAAAATTCTTAATTTTAAGCTATAAATTCTAACAAGTTGAACCCTGAAGGGTTACAAAATATTTTTATACCCTTGCAGGGTATTATAATTTCAGTCACCCTATAAAGTATACATATATATTCTTGATCAGCCTCAACAGCCGAGTCGATCTAGCCATGTCCGTCTGTCCGTCTGTCTGTCTGTTTCTACGCAAACTAGTCCCTCAGTTTTAAAGCTATCTGAATGAAACTTTGCATATAGTCTTATATATACTCTCACTGCTATATACATATGTCGGAACGGGCCGGATCGGAGAACTATATCCTATAGCTGCCATACAAATGTTCGATATATTTTTAGAAAAAAAATTATAGCTTTGCTGTTTTTAAACATTTTTGCATAATTTTTCAGATATGGCCATTTTATATTATTTCAGAATTTCGATAAAATGCAGATGAGCATCACTGATGCAGATGAGCATCACTGATGCAAGTGAGCAAAACTTTTCATTCAAATTGGCCGCTTTCCAAACTGTGGTAACAGGCGAACAGAAACCAGCAGCAAGCAACTGAAAACTGGTATAAACTGTTATAAAAATTCCAAGTTTCGAACCTTATGGGAGCAAGCGAAAGTCAGCGGAGACTCAAACCTGGCTTCTTTCCCAAAATACAACTCTGTGTTGTCTGCTCTCTTCTTTTCTGGACACTTGCTATCCCTCTCTGAGCTGCCTGCCCAGAGTTGCATTTTGGGAAAACAGCCGTTACTTTCGCTTGCTCCTAAATGGTTCGAAACTTGGCATTTTTATAACAGTTTATACCAGTTTTCAGTTGCTTGCTGCTGGTTTCTGTTCGCCTGTTACCCCAACTTGAGAAGCAGGCAAATTGCATGGAAATTTTCGAAAATTTGGACCATCGGGTTGAGATCTGGCATGCCAGCTGCTCGCTCCTCCAGCTTCACCTCTGCCGATCAGGGTATCATCAGTCAACAATTACAATGAACTTGATGAACTTGTGCTTCCCAGATCCCTGTAAATATAAGAAATACAGCTATGTAAAATTAAATTAAATTATAGATAAGTTGGTATAAATTTTATAAAAATCGGACAACTATATCATATAGCTGCCATAGAAGCGATCGGTAAATGTATAAAATATGTAAAGCTGGGAATGTAAAACTGAAACTGTCAAACTGTTAACATAATAAGTATAGGTAAAATTTAATGAAACTCTATTTTGTGAGTGTTTTCAGCATTTAAATCTATAATATAAACATCGAAACCAATCTGCAAGGGTATACAAACTTCGGCGTGCCGAAGTTAGCTTCCTTTCTTGTTAAATTTTAGAATTAAGCAAGAAAGGAAGCTAAACTTGGGAAGCCGAAGTTTGTATACTCTTGCAATTTGCATAGCATAGCCATCCCAGAAATACTTTAATTATGAAGTTCTTACTAAAATAATATTTCTTTTCGAGGGTATAAAAATATCTTTCCATAGTCTAGCCTTAGTGAACTGCAGGTTAATAGACGTGTTTAAACCTTTGAGGAAAGGGAAGGTGAGGAGCTTTTTACTTTATTATAAATATAACAAGAAAGGAATCTAACTTCGACACGCCGAAGTGTGTATACCCTTGCAGATTGCAATTGGATCACTAAACGTAGTATGCAGTTTGGTTAAGCTTAGAAAATCTAATTCAGAACCGCTTTCCGAATTCCGGATGCCGATGGCGAGACAGAGAGCGTTGGCAAGGAGGATTAGGACGAGGAGGAGTTATGAGGAGGATGCGTTTTTTTTTTTGGGTGGGATAATTTAAGTAAGCTCAATAAAAGAGCATTCTAGCGGTGTCAAATGAAAGAAACATAAAATATTGCAAAATAGCTAGATGAGCATCACTGGCAGTTAATGAGATGCCATTTTGTCCCAATAATGCAATATAGCTAGATGAGCATCACTAGTATTAACCGAGATTTTATAGCCTCCCAATATAGCAATAGCTAGATGAGCATCACTGGCAGTTAGTGAGATGCCATTTTGTCCCAATAATGCAATATAGCTAGATGAGCATCACTGGCAGTTAATGAGATGCCATTTTGTCCCAATAATGCAATATAGCTAGATGGTATTAACCGAGATTTTATAGCCTCCCAATATAGCAATAGCTAGATGAGCATCACTGGCAGTTAGTGAGATGCCATTTTGTCCCAATAATGCAAAATAGCTAGATGAGCATCACTGGCAGTTAATGAGATGCCATTTTGTCCCAATAATGCAATATAGCTAGACGAGCATCACTAGTATTAACCGAGATTTTATAGCCTCCCAATATAGCAATAGCTAGATGAGCATCACTGGCAGCTAGTGAGATGCCATTTTGTCCCAATAATGCAATATAGCTAGATGAGCATCACTGGCAGTTAATGAGATGCCATTTTGTCCCAATAATGCAATATAGCTAGATGAGCATCACTGGTATTAACCGAGATTTTATAGCCTCCCAATATAGCAATAGCTAGATGAGCATCACTGGCAGTTAGTGAGATGCCATTTTGTCCCATTAATGCAAAATAGCTAAATGCGTATCACTAATGCACATGAGCATCACTGCCATTATGTCCGATTTCATTGCCCCCTAATATTGAAATATAGCCAGATGAGCATCACTGATGAAGATGAGCATCACTGATGAAGATGAGCATCACTGATGCAAGTGACCAAAATTTTTCATTCAATTTGGCCGCTTTCCAAACAGGGGTAACAGGCGAACAGAAACCAGCAGCAAGCAACTGAAAACTGGTATAAACTGTTATAAAAACTTTTGGGCAAAAATAATAATTGGTATAATCTGTTATATTTCATTTTATGCATTTATACTTATTTGTTGCCGACAACAACAGCTTGATGGCAACAACAACCTTTTTACAACAACATCCCAACAGCAGCCCATCCAAATTTCCAAAAATTTCCATGCAAATTGCCCGTTTCCCAAATTGGGGTAACAGGCGAACAGAAACTAGCAGCAAGCAACTGAAAACTGTTATAAAAACTTTGGGCCACGAAAAACGTGCCAGTGTGACCATATTGTAAATTTTGTCCAAGTTTCAAACCATTTCGGAACCGGCGAAAGTTAGCGGAGACTCAAACCGTTTGAATCCAAATTTAGGTGTTATTTTACAACTGCACCTGGGCACACTGAAACTGATCGTCGTTAAATTCAAATTCAAATTTGGCAGTTAAATTCAAATTCAAATTTGGCAATTAAAATATTTTTAAAAATTTTAAAAACTAAAAAAAAATTTTTTAATCTAAAAAAAAAGTTAAAATATTGGAAAAACATTTTAAAAATTCAGGAAAACTTTTAGAAATTTAGAAAAAAAATTCAGAAAATGATGTTAAAAATTAAAAAAAAAAAATTACATTTGGCTTTTAACAGTTAAAAGTTTTAACAGATTTTTCCCCAAACAATCCCAAGGCCCCCAAATAAATGCCGCTTAAACCACACCATTTCACATTGATTTCCCTTTTTTTATTGATTCAAATTTGTTTGTACCATCAATTACATTTACACATTTATAGTAGTAGTAGTAGTAGTAGTAGTTATAAATATTCCAATACTTTACGCCTGCTGGGCTTCAGCTAGCCCGAAGCCAAGATCCGACCACTGCCATTCGCTTGAGCTCCGCCATCCCAGCTGCTTGCTCCTCCAGCTTCACCACTGCCGATCCGATGATCATCAATCAACAATTACAATGATGACTAGGATGAACTTGTGCTTCGCGGATCGCTGTGTCGTTGGTCCTTTCCCTTGGTTTTTGGTCGGGGTGGGTGGTACTGATGAGCGATGGCGATGGCAATGACGATGGAAAGTCGGTAATTGAAATGAGAAAAACAGAAAATTAAAAACTAAAAAAGCCATAACTCTGTCAAAAATGCCTTAATTTGCATTCGGAAAGCGGTGTTATGTTAGTTTTTATAAGGTTAACAAATCTGCAAACTTAGTTAAAAATTCAAAATTTTATCAAATTTTGAGAATTTTAATGATGTAACCTATTAAAAAATTTTGAAAAAATTGATAAAAATTTTTTTTTGCCGGATATGGTCAGAAAGATGCGCCTGTTAATGCTGATCAATAATATATATGGTTTATAGGGTCGGAAATGACTCCTTCTATGCGTAATGAGCTGGAATAATATAAAATGGCTATATCTCAAAAATGATACAAAAATATTGAAAAACAGCCAAGTTATAATTTTTTTTCTAAAAATTTATCGATCATTTGTATGGGAGCTATATGATATAGTCGTCCGATCCGGCCCGTTCCGACATATATAGCAGTGAGAGTATATAGAAGACTATATGCAAAGTTTCATTCAGATAGCTTTAAAACTGAGGCACTAGTTTGCGTAGAAACAGACAGACGGACAGACGGACAGACAGACAGACGGACATGGCTAGATCGACTCGGCTGTTGATGCTGATCAAGAATATATATACTTTATAGGGTCGAAAACGTCTCCTTCACTGCGTTGCAAACTTCTGACTGAAATTATAATACCCTGCAAGTGTATAAAAACTCTAATAATATGTTCATCATATAATTGAAGTGAGGAGAACGTCAACACTTGAACGTATTATTATAAATACCATACCATAAGTATTAGGTGTTTTTATAGATTTCAGTGGATTAAAAATCGTTAATAAGCATTCATTTTATGCTTAATTAAAAGATACATGATGATTTTCATTCATTTTTATTATCTACTCTGAAATTTGGAAAATGTATATGATTTAGATATTTAGTTTATGAAAATCAACGAAAATCTTATTTAAATGTAAAGCACTTCGTTGTTAATTTACATATACGCGTAAAGCCTAAGATGAAACGGCTTTCAATGATTTTTAACCTTTTTTTTTATTAAATATTATTATATATATATATTTTTTATTAATTTTTTAAAACATTTTATCGAAGCAAACATCAAGGAATCAAGCTATTAAATAACTTAAGTTTCACATTTTTAATAATAATACATTTTTTTATGTTTTTGTGGCCAATGTAAAAAAATTACATATACAAAATTTTTTGTGTGTGCGTTTGAACAAAACAAAACAAAAAAAAAAAAATGGCAAAAATGGCTGTAATAAAAATTGTCGATGTATTGCGATAATAAACCGATATTTTCAACTGAACGCCGATATTTTCAGTAATTCAGTTGTCAAGGGAATACCCTAAATATAAAATATTCCTGGCTTTCCTTCGTCATTTAATATTGGTCACACTTTTTGTATTTTTCTGTGTACCAAACACGGTCTGTTTCAGTTTTGCCAGTGATGAGCCCTCGAATAAGCTAGATTCTAAAATAAAAATACTCAAAACAAATACATAGGTACATCCAAATGCAAAAAAACATACAAAACTATTACGTTTTTAAAAGTGTTTAATTAATTTTATTTGGTTATTTTTAAACCTTATGCTTGGATACGCATTTTGTTTATATAATTTCAGAGCTAGTTCATTTAACAATATAACATTTATCTATTGGGATCTTAAATAACCAATATTCATTATGATAAAATATTAAAAAATTTTTATTATATCAGATAATTTTTTAAGCTCGAAACTTATGATTAAAAATGCATTTTTTGTTTATGCGAAAAATATAACAATCGTCAATATCTTTAGCCATTTTCTTATAAAATAAATCGTTAATGTCACGCAATTATTGCTAAAATATGCTTGATTAATATTAAAATAAGCTATTTTTAAGGCTATAAGCTAGTTACAATTTTTAAAAGCTTTTCCATTTTAAGCTATGCCAGCTATGTCAGCTACAAATAAGCTAAACTGGCAACACTGAATAGAATATAGGACCGCTACTTTGTGGATCAGTTTTCTATATTGCCGGTTTATCTGATTTTTCCGATAGAAAATCATTATCTCGAGTGGAAAGTGATTGATTCAGCCGCCGGTAAACATTGCGTCCGAACTTTGGACGGCGCTACGAATCAGCTGGTCGGGTCGGTCAAAGTCCAACTTGTTGCACCGATCTTGGTTTGTTGTGTTTGCTGAAGCAGCGTAAACACAACAACACACTTATATATATTTATATATAAACCAGATTTGTGCACTTTTCCTGCTCTACTAAAAACGGTTATTTTTGGCCTAAAAGAAGATGTCTGCTCTTCTAAAAATGCACAGAGGTGAGTTCCTGAAGGGCGCCGTATTCAAACCCAATAGATTCCCTATTCGGGGATTACATAACCGCTCTGATGGATGCCGAGACTCTGCAATAAAAGTGTCTCGCGGCGGAGATAGCGCTTGACCTTTGTTGATTACTAAATATGATCTCCTGCTCGCAGCCCGGCGGCTCTTCACGCCCGCCTTGGTGCGCAGCGTATCGGAGGCAGCCAAGTATCCTAGGATCACCACACATTACACGCTGAATCCCCGCGAGAAGGATGAGCGGTGGACAGAAGTGGACATGGAGCGGTGCATAGAGGAGGTGGATCTGGTTATCGTGGGCGGCGGACCGGCTGGCATGTCGGCGGCCATTCGCGCCAAGCAGCTGGCGGCGGAAAAGGATCAGGTGAGTGTTGACCACGTCCCCATTCCCGGCTCTAATCATAACTTGATCTTAAGGAAATCCGCGTTTGCGTTGTGGAAAAATCCGCCGAGGTGGGCGGACACATTCTATCCGGTGCCGTCATCGATCCCATCTCGCTGAACGAACTCATACCAGACTGGCAAGAGCAGGGCGCTCCGCTAAACACGCCCGTGACCAAGGACACCTTCTCCTTCCTCACTGGCAGCGGACGCATCTCCATTCCCGTCTTCAAGGGCTGGCCCATGGACAATCACGGTAACTATGTTGTGCGCTTGGGTCACCTGGTCAAGTGGCTCGGCGACCAGGCTGAAGCTCTGGGCGTAGAGATCTATCCCGGCTGCGCTGCGTCCGAGGTGCTGTTCCACGAGGATGGCAGCGTAAAAGGCATCGCCACCAATGATGTCGGCATTGCCAAGAGCGGAGCGCCGAAAGACACTTTTGCGCGAGGCATGGAGCTGCACGCAAAGACCACCATCTTCGCTGAGGGCTGCCGCGGCCACCTGACCAAGCAAATTATGCAGAAGTTCGGCCTGAACGAGGGTAGCGAGCCTCAGACCTATGGAATCGGTCTGAAGGAGGTCTGGGAGATTGACGCCGAGAAGCATCAGTGAGTAGTCACGTTAAATGATCAGGGAAACCATCTTAGTTATTCCCTTTCCATAGACCCGGTTTGGTGGAGCACACCATTGGCTGGCCTTTGGATCGCTTCACCTATGGCGGCTCCTTCCTGTACCATTTGAACGAACCCACGCCCACCATCGCTGTGGGCTTTGTGGTTGGCCTGAACTACAAGAACCCGTGGCTCAGTCCCTTCCAGGAGTTCCAGCGCTTCAAGACGCATCCCAAGGTGCGTCATGTCTTTGAGGGCGCCACCCGCATTGCCTACGGAGCCCGTGCCATCAACGAGGGCGGCTTCCAGAGCCTGCCAAAGAAGCTGTCCTTCCCCGGCGGCTGTCTGGTGGGCTGCAGCGCTGGCTTCCTGAACGTGCCTCGCATCAAGGGCTCCCACTATGCCATGAAGAGCGGCATGCTGGCTGCGGAGAGTGCCTTTGAGGCCATCAATGCGGACGCACAGTCGACGGCGGGCGTGGAACCTACAAGCTATGCGGAAAAGTGAGTTGAAAATGTTGTAAAAGTGAAAGAAATCGAGTAACCAACCTTGAATAATGCAGGATCAAGGACTCCTTTGTGTGGAAGGACCTTTACAGCGTGCGCAACGTCCACCCCTCGTTCCACAATCCCTTGGGCCTGTACGGCGGCTTGGTGCTCAGCGGCTTCTCCATCTTCATGGGCGGCCGTGAGCCCTGGACCCTGAAGCACGGTCCCCAGGATCACGAGTCCCTGCAGCCGGCTAGCTCTAGCCAGCCCATTGTATACCCCAAGCCCGATGGCAAGATCTCCTTCGACCTGCTCTCGTCGGTGGCGCTGACGGGCACCAACCACGAAGGCGACCAGCCGGCTCACCTGACGCTGAAGGATGACCGCATACCCGTGGACCACAATCTGGCGCTGTACGAGGGCCCCGAGCAGCGCTTCTGTCCCGCCGGCGTCTACGAGTACGTGCCCAATGAGGAGGGCGGCAACCTGAAGCTGCAGATCAACGCCCAGAACTGCATCCATTGCAAGACCTGTGATATCAAGGACCCCAAGCAGAACATCAACTGGGTGGTGCCCGAGGGCGGCGGCGGCCCCGCCTACAACGGCATGTAATGGTGATCCCGCCAATATATCGTGTACCGCAATTGCATTTCGCTAGTTTGTAAAATTGAAATTGTACATCGGAATTTAAGCTCAAAGTTGCAATAAAAATTATAGAGAGAAACCACTCGGAGATCGTTCAGTTTGCCAAAAAGGTTTTATTTAAAATGTTCTACTATCATTTGCTAGGTTTTGTCCTTGCTTTCACTGTTTAAAACACCAACTTAATAGGTAAATATTGAATCCACAAATTGTCCAAAACCTTTCGTATTCAGTGCACGGATAAAACTTGTTTCTCTTTATATATATATATATAAGTATATATAGTATTCCCACACATAGGTATGCATGTATATAATGTAATAACTTGTTTTTCACCAAAATGGTTGCCTGCCTTAGCCTAGAGTTACGATTCAGTTTGTGTATATATTTATTTGAACAGACACATCGATGGATACACTTATTGGGTAGCCGTCTCTAGCCGATCCTGTGCAGATCCTCGAGTCCCACCCAATCCTATCTAGAGCTTAGCTAGCTGAACGCGGTATCTCGGTATTAACTATGTCGTGAGTGAGTTCATGCACAAGTCTTTGAATAACTATCCATATGATGCGCGTGGAGGGAGTGCCGTGCCACATAAATCCATTACAACAGTGCTTTGGGTTTAACATTTTTTATCTAGGTATATATTTTTTATAACTTTAGGCTAAAGGTACAGCGAATACGAATTTACACGTCCGTCCGAACCGTGCACACACTAGTTCTGTGCTGTGAGTGGTCCCTGTGACCGTAGGACGTCTTGGAGACAGTCAACTGTACAGTGCGTCAATCAAATATATAGTCTATGTATTATCCTATGCTATAGGGCTCTCCTGTTGCCATGCCAATTCGAAATTTGGTATCAGCTTGCCAACGGCTGTCCGTTTGTACATTACGTGCTGCTTGGGGGTCTCGACTGGGGTTAATATCAGTTATCTACGCTTAATTAAATAGCACAATTAACACCTGTATTGAAATTTTTCACCATCAAGTTGTTCGTTATCATTATCATTTGCAATCTATGTACTTTCCGTACAACATTCAGTTGCATCTTCAAGTATCTGCTTGTTGATCATCAAAAAGAGGCACTGTTTTTAAGGCAACACTACACAGTGAAGTTACATACCAGGATCTATGTACAGTCAACTGAAGAAGGCTCGTTAAATCAAAATGAGAAGACTTGGGAAGATTCGAAAGGTTCTTTTCGCAAATCATATGAAAATCAGTTAGGGGAGGTTACGGGCTACAACATCCAGGTGTGCAACAAATATATATATATATATATATATATACCCACAAATATTCACATTCAACACATATTTACATACAGTATTTATATAGCCAACTCTGACTGAAGAGAGGAGCAACTGTTGGGAAACCTCTCGGCTTAGCATAGTAAGTATATCGTATATATCCTATATATGGCTAGAAAATATCATTCACGTGCTGCCCTCTATGTGGTAGACATATATAATTCGCTCTCGCCTCGTTCCGCTTCGATCTGCTTACATATGTAGGTGTGTTTCTTGTAAAGCTTGTTCAATGGGGAAACCTGTAGAGTGTAAGTTTGCTTATTGTTTATGCTCGTTCTGCAGCCGTTCCTTTTCTTATTTTTTGTGTGTGTTTAAATATGCACAGCTGAGATGCAGGCAGCCACCTTCTTGGGCTCGTATCAAATACAAATATACATAAATATTTTACTCTTTTTCGCTTTTCGCGCTGCTGTATAAAGTGCAACAGGTCATAATAATGGCCAGTGCAAATATTTGCTCCGGCGCATTCACCTCTCTTAGTCAAATATTGAGAATACATTGGGCAATTGACATTGACACAGACACGCCATGCCACGCCCCCTTCGAGGCCTGTTTAAACAAAAAACAAGAAATATACAGAAAACAAATAAAGAATATAACCAAGATGTATTTTAAATATTTAAGAAATGAAAAGTAAACAAAAATTTCTTGAATAATTTTATTTAAATTATATTTTTGTTGAGTTGTTGTTGTTGTTTTACAAACTGCATTTTAAGATAATTGTAAAAAATACAAAAGAACTTAGGCACAATAGAATTTGAAGCACTTTTCAAATTGAATAGAAATCCACTTTAAACGTAAATTACAAATTATGACTTCGTTTCGCTTAAGAGATGAAGAGAAGAAGGTGTGTGTTGTCTAATATTAAATAATAATTGCTTAAATCAAAGCTAAAACATAATCATAAAGTGTATATATATGTATGTACTTGCATGCGTAAGAAGGAAGGGACAGGGACTGGGTTATTTCTACGATAAAAATTGCACGAAATTACAAAAAATGATGTTCGAACACTGAGTACATTTTGCGTGTGTTTATGCTTGCTTAGAATTTCTCAATTTCATAGTCGACTTGCTTGGTTTACGTATCTCCGTAATGCCTTACGCACTAAGTTTAAAACTTATGACACTAAAATCAAATATTTACAGCATAAAGAGCTCTTTCTTATCGTTCTCATTAAACTTGTTTTGTTTTTTGTTTTCCTTTTTGTCTGTAGCTTTTTTTGTTGTTGTTTGCCCTAAGATTAGATTTAACATTAAACTTTAACCGTACTTGTAATTGTAACTAAACTAAATCAGCTCAACACTCTAAACAACTTAATGCAAGCTCCTCAGTGTCCCGAATGATTCGCCGCAGGACTTGCCTTTGCATTTATAATTTAAAATTATAACTATTACCGTAGGTGTGTGTGTGTGTGTAATCGTAATTCATTTAAGTTACAATAACTATAGATATGACACTGTCACTGTTCGCTTAAACCGAAAACAAAACAAAGCTCCCCCCCTGTCTCGGCCTCCTCCTGCTCCTCCCAGCTAACTCCCCTCGAAACTATTGCACTGGTGTGGGTTTGGGATCGGTTGCTACGGGTGTTGCTGTGACCCGTAGGCCACGGCCAGCTGCTGGCCGTAACAGTCGTAGCCCGTAGCCTGCAGGAGGCCATAGGAGCTGCTGCTACGCGAATGCAGCAGCTCCTTGCGCGGCGGTGGCGGCATCATGACCAGGTCATCGCAGTCCGCTGGCTTCTTATTGCCGCTGCTGCTGCTGCTGCTACTGATGGAGTTGCTGCTGGTGGTGGCGCTGCAGCTGGTGTGGTTGTTGTTGTTGTGATGTGGCTTATAGTGGCTGGTGGTGCCGACACCACGTGCCGGCTATGTGCCCCATCCGCCCGATATTCTCGGCCGTTTGTGGTTGGGTGCATCGTAGTCGCCCATCTGCTGTTGCTGCTGCTGCTGGTGTTGCTGCTGTTGCTGCTGCTGCTGCACGGCCACTGCGGCGAGACGCACATCCTGGTCGCTGCTCGGCGCACCTGCATTAAGGATAATGAAGTCTGTTAAGCTATTAGTTTGATTTGCTCAAAGGTCGCGTGTGTATGACAAAGGCAGGCAGCAGGCGGGTTTTGTTATTTTGTTGTTTTTTTTCTGTTGGACATTCTGGCGGGGCCAGGACACAAGGACATTCGGTGCCTGGCCCGTGTGTGAGTGTGACTTGTGTGTGTGTGTGTGTATGTGTGGGCTGTTTGTGAGTGTGTTTTCTTTGGTTAGCAAGGAAATCGCATCGTTTTGTGGTGGGTTAGTGGAGGAAAATCAAAAACAAAGGCCAGGCAAAACGAAAAATCACAGAACTCGAAAATATCCCCCAGTAAACAGTAAACAGAAGAGAGAGAAACTAAATCGACTTTCAATCCCCCCGACTTTCGCCTGAGAAAACTGAGAAATCTTTAACTAGAATTTTGCTAGATTTTCTTCTTTTTTTTCGATATGTAGTTGTATGCGTATTTATAGGTGTTGGTATGCATGTGTGATGTGTATGTGTATGTATTTTGAGTTTTTGTTTGTTTTGTTTTGTTTTTGGCCAATTTACCGGCAAAATTCCATCTAGGATTATGTCCCATTAGCGCGCGGTACGGATATCCTTCATACTTATCATGCCCTATTTTTATTTGTTGGTTGTTGTTGTCGTTTGTTGTCGTTGGGGGTTAATGCAAAAAGAAGACACAATCGCATTATATATAGTATTAACAAATATTAGATTGGCGGAGGTATTGTAAGTATAAGAGGTAGAACACAAGTCTTGCCACGCGGCGTATGCGTAATTTCGCAGATTAAGTATACGCCCCGCTGGACACTGCAGTTTAATTATAATTAAGAGAGAGAGAGAGGTTTAGCATTAAAAAACATGCCGCAACTGTGGATCTTTTAACAATTTTCTTTAAACAAATTAGTAGACAAAACGGCAGCAATTTTCAAGCGGAAATCCTTCAGAAAAAACGGAGCGAGAAGTACAAGATACAAAAAGGAAAAAACGGTGCGGAAACTCAAAGAGAAAAGTGACGCCTACCTGGTGTGGGTGTGATGTGGCCCGTCGACGAGGGCCGCGAGTTGGGCATGACCAGGTGCTGCTGCTGCGCGTGGCTCAGCACGCTCAGGTTGGTGGCCTGCTCCACGTTGCCATTGCTGCCACCAGATCCTCCGCCTCCTCCTCCCCCTGGTCCGGAGGGACCTCCTGCTAGGACACTGACATTGTTCAAGTGCGTTATGACATTGGCGGCCGCCGAATTGCCACCTCCTCCTCCACCGCTGGCCGAGGCATTGCTGCTGGTGCTGCTGCTGGAGCCGCCGCTGCCCGTGGAGCCGTTACTGTTCTGCTGATGGCCACTGGAGGAGAGATCGCGCGGCGGCGACTGCGGCTCCGCCTTCACCTTAATGGAGACGGGTGAGGTGGCGGGCGGCGGCGTGCTATTCGAGACAGCCAAGTGCGAGAGACTGTAAATTGGCCCAGAGAAAGCATGATTATGATTGCCCATTGACTTTCCCGTAATTGAAGCTCACCTAGAGTGCGGCACCAGGCCCTGATGCCAGTTGTTCAGGCTCATGATGTCCGCGCTGCCCATGACCCCTGAGGAGGAGAAGTCCTGCGCCCCGAAGGAGTAGCTCGTAAGGGCGGGTATCGGCGTCTGCAGCGTGACCACGGGCGTGTTCAGCGATGCCTGGCTCTGCCGTTGCTGCGTAGTCGAGATATAACCAGGCTATAGGTAACCCCGAATCCAGTTATAAAGGAAGAACTACTTACATCTGCATAGGCGACGTCGTCGGGCGCGGACATATTAGTCTGTAGGGGAGCAATGGTCGGCGGTATGACGACCCGCAGGTTGGAAGCTCGTCCATTCTGGCTGCCCGGCGACTGCTGCTTGATGGACAAGTGGTGGGCTGCAAGGACAACGTGGTTAGGATATGGCACTCAAGAACCCAAAGCAATTGATGGAGTTAGAAGGAGGAGGAGGTCAAGTGAGGGTAGGAGTAATGGAGTAATGTTTTATGCCCACCTATGCCAGGACTGGGACCCGGACTCGGTGATCCCACAAGCGGCGAGTGTGAATGCGGATAGCCGTTCGACATCTCCAGCATGGAACCCGATGGATAGACTGATGGTCCAAAGAGAAGATAAGAATATTGAGAGAGGGTCGCACGATGTGGATATAAATATATCTAAAAACTACACACAACTTGGCACGCAGCTCGGTTAGATGGCGGTGAGTGTTGGTTAGTGGGTTAAAGAAATCAGAACAGAACGAAGTTAGGAATTTTAAGTTCGAAGTTAAGATAAATTCAAGAAATCATGCAGATCAGAAAAATAGGGAAAACATGTTAAAGATTTTCCCTGAGTGCATCATAAACGATATTCAGATCAGAAAATAGAACCAAAAACAGAACGGAAACCAACGATAGATAGATAGAAATGTGTGTGTGCACCCGAGGCGAGACACCGTACTAACTTATCAGGGACATCCCACCTGAATCCGTCTCCGAACTCGATGGACGTGGGCTGATGGTGTGCGACATCTGGGGGCTGGCCTGCAGCAGATTATCGCCATAGGAGCCCGGCACGGGGACGGAGACGGGCAGCGTATAGCTGCTATTTGGCAGCTGGCGGGGCGCTCCCGCTCCGCCGATGGCCATCTGATTGCGCTGCATCATGTTCTGGAACTCCTCGTCGATCTTGTTGTACTTGGCCTCCGTTCGCGGTGTCAGTGTGTAGTCCGTTTCGGCTTCAGGTGAGTCCGGCGACATGACGCCGTTCTTGTTCTCCTTCTGTTTCAAGAGAGGGCGGAAGGAGGAGAGACCGGGTGAGTGACGTGATAATTGCCCAAGGCCTTCCTTTCGGCTGAATTGACGCTTTGTTCCGCTAAATTATGTAAATGCAAATCCTGTCCTATGCCGCTACTCCCCTTCTGGGTTCCCTGCCTCAATTCCTGCCTCCTTACCCCGCTCGCTCACTCGGCGGAATTAACATTACAACACCATTTACGCGAGCTGAGACAGCGACGCCGCATTAGAAATGCAAAATACTTTGGCGACATTTTCCCCTCTCGGATTTTTCACCCGATTTTCTTGTGTCTCTTTCTTCAGTGGTAAATGTTTTGGCTGCTGCTGCAGTGGCTGTTATTGTCTTTGTTTTGATCAATTATACAAAATTTAGTTACCTTTTCATGTTATATTAAGGATAGGGTATTTATAGTATAAGTTATTAGATAAATACTTAAATGTTTCCAAGAAAAAGGCAATTAAGTTAAACTTTTATACTTTAAAAAGTGTAAACATCTAGGCACGAAACAGACTATAACCATTAATGGACTAGGTATTCCTGAAGTCAAGACATTCCCCAGATACTCCTTTTTTTACTTTTCCATATATCTACTTTTTCGCTCTTATATGTACATACCCCCCCTTAACGGCTGTGCTTTCCAATGTCTCACTTGAATTTGCATAATGGCAGCTCTCTTTTGGCCGGCTTTTCCTACGATTTTCCCCACTATTCCCTTTCAATGCCAATAGCTTAAATGCCAAGAAACTTACCTCAATGATGTTCTTGTTGGTGAGGGACTCGTGGGGCTCGTTGTACTCGGTGTACTTGAGCAGGACGCGGTCCATGTCGGTGCTGGCATACTGGTAGAGCTTGTTGCTTGACGAGAAGATGATCAAAGCGATCTCACAGTCGCAGAGCACGGACAGCTCGTAGGCCTTCTTCATGACGCCGAACTTGCGCTTGTTGAAGGTCACCTGCAGGGGTGGGAGAGAGAGAGAAAAGAAACACCGGAAACGGATCCGTTAGCGGAAGTGGTAAAGGCAGTGGTAGTGGTAGCGGAAGTGGAAGCACTGTTCAATTACGTTGCCCCCTGTTCAAATATTTATGCGCTTCGAAAATGTAATTAGAGGCACTAGCCACCTAGCCCAGCCCAGGCCCAAGCCCTGGCTAGTTGGTAATGAATCGATTATGGCCAAGTCAAGGCCAAAGGGCCAGCACAATAAACAAGTTGTTACTGTTCCTGCGTGGCCCGTTGTTGTTGTTGTTGCTTTTACTGCCGAGTGATGACGCGTTTATGACCGGGCCAAGACATCGCCTTAGCCAGAAAGGCAGTGAGGCAAACGAAAACCTTGCGATGACACGACGTTGAGCGTGTTGCCGGTTAAAAAATGGAAATGGTGAAGGGAAACAATTTCCGAGTGGAAAAAAAGATATATACTGCACATAACAGCTGGGAAAGTCCGCATTTCGATTTTCCATAATTGATTCACTTTTTTTGTAAGGTTTTAGCTCTCATTAGGCCAAGGGTTCGCTGAATTACTCTACTTGGAAGAAGCCTTATTAAACCTTGTAGAACATCTAAGCAAGAACTGAATTCCTTAGAAATGAAATGTAATTATTTGCATCATTTTAAAGCTAGACTTTTGGACCACTTTAAGATCTTAAACTAAAGCTTTAATGACATAATTTCAATTATTCAATATTCCCCAAATGGAAAATAACTCTAAAAGCAAAATTCCTCCACTTTTAGCCTGTCAATTAATCAGCTAACCAATTAGCTTGTCGACTCCAATGAAACTAATTCAATGAACAATGAGCCGTTGGCGCAAATTTAATGAGGAAATGGTATATCGACAAGGCTTGGATTACAATTTAATAGCCGTAAATCGATTCACCTTATGGTGTCCCTTATCCTGGTCTTAATTAACGTGGAATTGCCTTGCATTGCCATGGCAAAACTCTAAGCAGAGTCTGAGTTCTGTGAGCAATGAATGCCATGAATTCGTCCTTCATCTCGGCAAACAATTGTTGCTCCTCCCGCTCACCTCATTATTATTATTATGACATATTGATGGGGCCCGACACTCACCTGCCGATTGCGTTCGTCGGTGATGCGTGATATTTGAATTTTCTTGCGACCCATGGCAACAGTGTTCTGCTCCTTGCGATTATTACGGAGATGCTGAGGCTGCTCAGCTGGCTGACTGGTTCCTGTGGATCCTCCTCCTGTGTCACTCGCTTACGCTGGATACTCGCTCTTAGTTGCTCCTCTGCTCCTTCGGATTAATGTGGCAGACGAGGGGCATATTTAACGTTGTTCCTTGCTCCTTTATTGTGTTTTTTTGTATGGTTTTTCTTGTATAAGTGGACGGCTTGTCAAAACGGCAAATTCTCCTTGTATATTGAGGTGTGTGTATATACTACGTTATATAATTGGGTTTCCATATATATAAATTGTCCTCAGGTAACTGCAAAGAGATAGGAGATGGAGAGACAATGAGTGACTGATTGACTGGCTCAATGGGCGGGAGTAATTAACCCATATGCAGCGGAGGCTCTGACCATTTAACCCACTTTAGAGTGGCTCGACTTCAAAAAGCTTTCCGGCTGGGCGGGACGGGATTTGCGGTCAACTTGCTCCATTGTCGCTCCACTGGCGCTGAAAGTTCAATGCACCGCTAATGAAGAGGACGCAGGAGCAAGGATGTATGGGGACTATATGGTATTTCGCCCACAACAATGACCCATTTCATCGGTTGGCTTCGGTTAATTGCGATTGACCCCACGCATGATTAGACTCGCGCTCCTCCTGATGCTGGTACCCTTGCCAAGGACCCTAGATTCCATCGCTTTGATGTCCTGCCAACGAAACACACGCACCGACTCAAAAAAGGAAGCGCCAGCCAGTTGGCTTTCAAACAGTTTTTAAAGCGGAAACGGAAGCGGCACTCCAGAGATCCCGTTTCCCGTTCCCCGGGCAACGGGCCACAGCAATACTCAACATCATCGACGGAAGCTGAGGCATCTCCCTGTCGTTTCCCCCCCGCTTTCCCCTGATTTTCCTCATGCGGCAGCGGCACGTGGCTGGCAAACGCGAGCCAGCAAAAACATCCTCGAGACCTCTCAGTATTTCTGTAAGCTGGGAAAAGTTTCAGCACTAAGATAAATAGGGGATATAATTCGTTGATAGAACTAGTTTTCTTTCTATAAATACTATAAATCTTTTATAGAATTTAAATCAGAAATCAAAAAATATTTAATCACTGCTTATAATTTTCTTTCTAAATTTTCATTAAATAATTAGCTTTTATTATTCATATATTTAATGCAAATTTTCGCTCAGTGCTTTTGGCAACGGAAATCGAGTCGGATAAATTTCATTTCTTCCTTGTTCGTCTTCGTCTGCTGCTGCTGCTTGTCCTCCGGCCAGGACTCGGGACAATAACAACAACAACAACAGCAATAAAAGCAACAAACGAATGCCTTGGCAACGCTGGGAAATGCTGGCTCGCTTTTCCGCCTTCCCCCAACCTCCCTTTGCTATCGACGACTCACGCAGCGACCTACGCAATATGCTTCAGCTTTCAGCCATGCCCAGCGGGTGAGCGGGGCTGGAAAATGGGTTGTGACAGGACCAAGAGGGCGGAAAACGGGCGGAGAGTGGGGGTCTTAGCCTTGACGAATATGTGTGACAGCCAGCACAAACACACGCACACACGCACACAGACCCAAGCAGAGAAGTAGCAACAGCGAGGACACACTCAACAAATTCGATACATTTTCCAGCTTTTCTCGTGACTGTTTTCCTGCCCTTTTATTCGGGGGTCGAGCAACCCGCCATGATTATGCGTGAGTTTTGTATTCGGTGACTTGAACATTCATTATTGATATGGAAAAGAAACGAAATGGAAGCGACTGGGACAAGCTGGGCATAAGAAATGAATCGATAATGATATTGATGACGCCGCCACCATTTGATGGGCAGCAAACCGAGAGATATTCTGGAGACACATTCGTAAAAAGACTCTCCACTGTGAGATTTCGGATTTAATGGCATGACCAGGGGCAAGTGTTGCTCCAAGTGCGGCACGCGCCCTCCAGCTCCTCCCTCTCTCCGAAATCAATAATTATCCGTTTAGTAATCAATATTAGATTTTGGTTTTGGTAAAAAGCCCTCCGCTCTGACAGGACAAATTGCTAGCCTTTGTGTTTGTGTTTGGGCCCAAGCACTTGGCCTGTAATTAAGGGACACCTAATCCGCTTAGGACACACAGTCGCACGCTCCGTTCGATTGCCTTTCGAGGGATTATCTCGGAAATAAGCCGCAGATTGCCAGCATTAAGTCATGTTTTAGTCACTTGAGCTGCCTTTGCCTTGCATTACTTACTTTATTTTATTTAATTGTTCTTGTCTTGCGGATGCTTAGTGAGCGCCGATAAGCTGTGCAGCGAACTTGAAGTGAGTCAGTGCGAAAAAACATGAATAATTAAAGGCGCAAGCTCACGAAAGTGCGCAGGCAAGTGACTCAATCACACCACAAGGAACCGAGCGTGTGTATCCCGTATCTGTCGCCATCATTGCAGCAGTTGCAAACTGTGGGGGGATTGTGTGGGTGCCTTAAAGGGGATATAGCTGGAGATATCTGGGGGGGTGATGGCTACACAAGGACACAGGGGCCATGTGGCAGACGGCAGCAGCGGGACATCAAGTGCTTGAATTACAAATTTGTCCTTTTTGTAGCATACTTATCAGCGTCTGCAATTGAATTATACTCACGCTGCTAACCTCTGCCCCTCCACGGTCGAATTGAGTGTTTTTTAAAGGCCATAAAAAGTCAGAGCTTAAAGCAAGCCAATAATACTGAACTAACATGAATAAAGCCTGGGGTTATGTCTATTTCTGGGACGTTTTATATCGAACAAAAAAGGGGAAAAGACAGTTATTTATAACACAAGTTAAATTCATGGTGAAATCCACCTTTTAGTAAGCAAATAAACCTGAACTAAGTCAATATAATTGCATACGAATAAAGTTTTACTGAGCTAACTGAGTAAACTTATTAAATAAATAGTAGGTTAGCCTTGAAAAGACCATAAGGGAGTTGTATTTTTAGTTGAAAATGTTAACTAAAGGACTAACAGGACTTTAATTATCTACTAATAGTTTTTTAAAAGGCAAAATAAGTGACAGAAATTTAACCAAAACACAACAAATACTTTATATACCACCTTGATATGTTTTATGTATCTTTTCTATACTGTGAGCATTCAGAACAACTCTTTAAACCGCCCACATAGTGTCCAATTCCTAATCATCCCCCCTCACCGGCCAAGTTCCCCCGTCCCAAGTTATCGGAAATCTGCATTCAGTGGCAGGAAGGAGAAGCATTCGCTCGCAAACCGGTATCTAATCTGGCCAAGAATTTCAAGTTGCCAAAAACTCTTTATAAATCAATTGGTCACGTCATTCGCGGGGAATACATAGTATAGTAATGGGCCTGTGTTTTTGTTTAGTCAAAAGCCACTTCAAGTGGTGCAGGTGTGGCAACAAAAAAATACAGAATCAAGAATGGCGGTGCAAATATTTGACTAATTGCTGGAAAAGGAATGAAGGGCTAATCACCGGAACAGAAAGGTGGCTGCAATACAAAGGATGTACGGTTTCTGGCCCGGGGGCTGAAAGAACTTAACACGGTTTGCATTGCAACAATCAAGCAACCATTTGTGGCTGCGATTCTTAGCCACACATTTCACTGGGTCAACGGCAAAGGCAGCACTTGAGAGGACTTGGATGCCAGAGGATATAAGCTAGGCAGGCAGGAAGGAAGGATGTGTGTCAAGACATTTGTCTTGTGGCCGGGCAATTAAAACGAAGCAAACTGCCGCCACACGTTTTCACGTTTCTCCATTTAATTGGCCCAAAGACCGGGGCGACATCATTAGGCAAATGGCCAAGAACGAGTCCCCATGCGTGGGACAGCCACTCTCGGTTTCTCAGTTCCCTAGTATCTGAGTTTCTCAGCTCGGTTTCTTGGCAGTTTCTCGGCTGATGAATCCCCAGAATCCCTTCAGATTTTCCTCCTAATTGTTTTGGGGCCGAAAACGAAAAAAAACAAAGGCGGGGGCATTATTATCGATTTGATTTAAGTGAATCACTCTCTGTGGCTTTGGGCAGACGTTAAAAGGCACAAAACTTGTTGCTGTTGCTGTGGCCGCCTTGATTGCTCGCAATTAGCATTTGTGTTGCCAACACTCTTAAATTTATGCAAATTTTAAACTTTTCCGTATTTTGGAGGAATGAACTCCGAACCGATTGCGCAAACCAGTTGTGTCGCACCGAAAATGAGATGAAACAGATCACCAGCCAGAATGCAATCTCTCCTCGCAGCAGCCGAAAGCCCAATTAGAAGGCCAGAGAGATTCCGATTCCCATTTCGAGGCTTATTCAGAGAGACCTTTCATAAATTCCGTTTTATGGCAGCTGCCCAAATAATTTCAAGTTTAAGAAACTCGGAATTTATCACCTGCCGCCTCTCTCTCTCTGAATAATAATAATATAAATTCTCAAAGTTAATATCATGTGCTTGGTGGCGACGTGTAATAGGAATGTCTGCTAATTTTTCCGCATTTGAGTAGAGCTTGGACTTGGCCAGGCTTCTGACTTCGGTTTCACTTTCACTTCTAATTAGCCACAGAGATCTGTCAATGTCCCCCCGACTTATTGTTGTTGATGTGCCTGGCGCAGTTAACGCAGCATTCCTGGGACTCTGGTTATAAATCTTGACTTAATTAAAGACACGCGCGCGCTTTAAGATGCGCCAGTAACGCGTCATTTGGAGCTCCAACTGAGGCGGAACTTTCTGCTCGGAAATGAAGTTTAGAACTGTAAATTGCCGGACAACAAAGTCGAGAGAAAAAAGGGGGAGCCATCAATATAATGTGTGACACATTATCGGAAGAGTGTTGATTCGCTGACAGATGAGGTATGGATTGATGAGGGGTTTGAGTCTTATCATTATTTTCTTCAATTGTTTTGTGCCTTTTCTTCTTTTTTGTATCTTATTGAGGTAACAATCTGAGCTTGAAATTATAACGATTAGTTTCTATATATTTTAATTAGCATTTAATGTTTTTTGTAGCCTTAAGTATCATGTTTTCAATTAAAAGCCATATTTTACATATTTTGTTGCAGAATTATCTTTCCTTTATGGTTTGGTTAACAATTATTAACCTCTCAGGCTTTACTAAGTAAATCTCTTATATTTTATGTAATATCATCAAGATAGACAGTAATATAAATCCATATAGAAACCCCCATTTGGAGGATGTATTACTTGTTCTTTCTAATCCGATGAATACTTTTTCTTTAGACTGAAGTACAATTCTTGAAATTGAAATATATTTCAGATAATCCGGATTATAACATATAAATATAAAAAATTATATTAATTTATCTAACATATTTTTACACTTTATTTATTTCCAACTAATTGTGTGTTCCCCTTAATCTTGGATACAATTCTTGAGTATAACAAATTCTGCAAATATCTGCACACTTCGATTTCCAATTCTGCAAGCCCTCGCCCCTCATATCTGGCATTTTTTCTGCAGCCTGTTTATCAACAATTTCAATTTCAGAGGCAACAAAAAAAATATATAAAGAAAGAAATAAAAAAAAAAAAAACTGACAAGAAGTAAACCGAAATCCAAGGTTCTTTTCGCCCCGAAACACGCGTCTCATGTTAAGGTAGTCGAACAAATTTGAGTTCTCGGGCCCCGAGCCGCCGTATCTCTATCTTATCGCTCCCAAAAAACTCGCACACACACCCCGCCAACAAAATAAAACCGTAAGAGAGAGCCAAACAAAAACAGAAACCGAAAGAAATCATTATAATAATAATAATTATAATTGTGGCCCATAGGAGTAACGGAGAGCGGCGGCAATAACCATAATTATCACAGACACTCGAGAGTCGCAAAAAACACGGCAAATGGCAAAGGGAACATTTATACTTTTTAATAACTATACCAACACAGTGAACTAGTGCCGTGTTCACTGTACACCTCCACATGCGCACGTGTGATAAGAAAGACTCTCGCTCTCGTTCCCAGATAGTGGGCCGCAGCGCCAAATAAAACAAAATTTGATTGCGAATTTTTTATCAAGCCAAGGCACACACCAACATCAACTACAACAACACCACCAAAGAGAACTCGACTATTTTTTGTTGTTGAAAAAATTTGCCAACAAATTATTTTGACTGGCAGATAAGATGAGGGTTGGCTGGGTTTTCCTATTTCTATTTTGTTTGCCTTTTAGATCAAGAAACTTTAGATGGGAAACGAAAACAAACAGCTAAAAATTAAAATGTTCAGTTAATACCTGTAATTTATTGAAAAGCTAAATGTAAAGGGAATCCATTAATCGCCTAAAAATATAAAATTAGAGCTTTGTTTAAGGCTTTTTACTCATTTACTTGAAAAATCCTCTAAAAAGGAAATCATAAAGCCAATAAAGTCAAGTCATTCCTGGCCAAAGAAACCTATATACTACCTATATATGCATATCTCAAGAATGCCAACCCACGGAATATACAACTTGAAAATGAAACGTGGCCGAAACGTGATTAGACCAAAAGTATAGTTAAAAATTCCTAGAAGGGGGTGATCCACGATCGGGGAGGTATCCTTATCTCGACACTGCATATGGCCAAAGCCAATCGTTATCGTTTATCGATGATCGCCATGGCTAAGTCCACATCAAATCAGAAGCGATTATCTCGGCTTTTATATGGCTTTGTTTGCTGTTGGAAGCAGCTCTTGGAGTGATCCTTGGTCACGTCCCGCTTAACCTATTTGGACTCCTGCGTGTGTGTAGGTGTCAAAGTGCATTGCACGCATGTCCAGGGAGCGAGTGAGAGGGAAGCGATAACATAAAGCGATAACTTATAAGTCCCCCGACTCGTGGTTGTTGTTCTTTCTCTCTTCTTTTTTTTTGCATTCGCTGGCTGAAACAAAGTGCAGACAATTATCAGCAAATTCGCCAATCAGCCAAACAGCCAGGCAGTCAGTCAGTCAGTCAGTCAGCCAGTCAGTCAGCCAGCCAGTCAATCAGTCAGTTAGTCACTCAGTCCGGCCATAAAACTACATGCAAAAGAACCTGATAGCGGAGGAAAATGGATTTGAACTTCGCTGGAAGCGTACTCTCCTCTCCCTCGCTTTCGCTGCTACCACAATTGATACGAAAAGCGCTTATCAGTCGAGCATATATAGTCCGTACATGTACGTGGAGGCAGAGAGGGAGCGGTAGCTATACTTCCAACATTAAATTCGCCCGCGGAAGAGAGAATTTGAAACATCTGAACGCATCGAATCGAATCAATTGAAAAGTAAGTGAATAAATGGAAACTGAAGACACCAAGAAACCAAAAGCGAAGTAGATATCTCTTTTACGCGGAATCCAGGCGATGACGTCAGTTTGCCATGGGTTATTCGCCGGCTGCGTGTGTTTGGGTAATTGTAAAATTATAGATAATCAAATTGCCCTATCGGAGGAATATGGGAATATATCGGAGGAGCGGCTTACATATACGGCACGGCACCGCGTGCACGATCTGTAAATAATTGATAAAGCCCAATGGGAGCTTCGATGGAAATTATGCGAATGAGTAAGTAAGAATCACAGCGATCTATCTATATTTGTTTTTTAACAACGTATTACAATCACAAGCTTTCAGTTGGTAAAAAATATGTATCCTTAACCCAACAAAATCTGCTACATTTCAACTACAACTTTAATATATTTTTAATTGCTTACCCAAAAAAATGACTTCTTAAATTTGAAATCTTAGTTTGCTAATTCACTAAATGTTTATCCGGAATTTGAGCTTTAAATTATTATTTTTTTTAATAAATTGAATTTAAAGAGATTTAAATGCATTTTGGTTATAAATAAACCATAATTTGTTTTTCTCTCTTTTATTTTTTGTAATATTTCTCACACTGTTTTGAAACTTACGTGAATCTCTTTTAAGCAGAGCTTTGGTCACTAAAAATGTTCTCGAAAAATACGCTGATGCTCTGGTCAATCAATAGGAAACCGACTTTGTTTCGAACTTTTGTGTGTGGAGATGATCTCTCTGCGTCCGTGTTCCTTGAGAAGTGTTTGCACAAATGTTTCCGCACACAAAACACACACTTCTGGCGATATTCAGATGCTAATTGAATTGTTGCTCGAAATCGGCGAAAGGGATCTCCAAAAGTACAACAACTTTCGGGGCTTTGTTCGGAGTTCACGGAAAATGCAGTCAGTGATATGTGTTTGCCGTGTTATGTTTGCCGTACGCCTGTGCTTTTTTCCAAGCTTGTTTGCTTGCTTTTTTATTTGTTTGTTTGCTCGTTTGCCTGTTCTATCTATAACGCCGCTCGTCGTATTTATTTATATTTGTAAGGCAAATCAAATTGATATTTGTAAATATAAACAAAGTCCGGGGATGGCGGAAGGAAGGCGAAAACGGAGGGTGGCGCAAATAAAAGTTAAAAATAAAAACTTATAATTGTCCGACGTCTGTTGTTTTATTTTTATTTTATTTATTTCTTTTTTTATCGTTGTTGCTATTGCTGTTGCAATTTATTTTTGGAAATAGACGTTGCTTGAATTTGTTTATATGTTTGGAGTAAAAATAAATGATGGCGCGTAGAGCGAGAGCAGCGGGCAGCAGCACAACATAATTCTCGCGATCGAAGGTATGTAGAAGCGGCGGCTCAGTGTCTATATGGTGTTTGGATCTGCATCTGCATCGGAATAATCCTATTGAAAATCGAACTCGCGCTAAATCGCAGATCCCGAGATCCCGAAAACCGAAAAACTGAAGAAGCGGCGCTGCGGACGCGTACAAACGTACTGACGGATACGCCGACGTTGACGTCGTAATGCGAGGCGCGAACCGCACGGATACAGATACAGATACCGATACACTTGCACACTCGCTCTCTCCTACACACACACACACACTCAGCGGCCAGCCTGCCCGGTGAGGATTTTCGTTTCGTGGTGAACTCACTAACACACACGCTCGCACCTTCTAACGGTGCGCCTTTTGTTTTTGCCTTTTTGTGTAACCGTATATCACACACACATGCAGCGCGGGAGAGAGCACTCTCCGGAGCGCAGGCGCTGACTTTGAGTGGAAACTCGGAACGAAAGCAAAAGTCTCACCCGCGCACCCAAGTGCGAGGGAGAGCGGCGATGGATGGGCGGTGGGTGAGTGGGTGAGCGAGCGAGTGAGTGCGTTGAGTGCGTGCGGGAGTCGAAGCCGAAACATATGGTTTTTGTTTGTGCCCTCTCGCACGCACACTTGATCAATCAGCCGTTCGTCGGTGAGCCAGCAACAGTTACATTTCGGCCGCCATCGATTCTGTGTCCCGCTCTGGCGCCCGCTCATGAATGCTAATTACCCCGCAGCTCGCCCTGGGTTTCCGCCTCCTTTGTATCGTTTCGCAGCCCCCCTGCGCCTTATTTTTCTCTGTGTATTTTATTTATTTGGCTCTCGTGCGACAACACATTGTCCTTGCCAGGGGATCGTCCTCTTTGGGCGCCCAGCCCACTATTTGGGCTCCTCCTGACGCAGCTTAATAAAAACTTTGTTGACCTGCGTTTGGCAGCAGAGGGAAACAAGGAAATATCGAGATATAATGGGGGGCTCCGACCATTTAATACCCGGTGTAAGGCCAAGTAGGTTGCATATCTAAAGGGGTCTAATCGGGTCTTATCATATATTTAATATTTATTCAATGATTTTAACTATAAGATACCCAACATTTACTTCAACAGCTATAGCTTTTATACCTTATATTTTTACAGATGGGTTTTTTTTTGTTTTTTTTTTTTTATCTTTTACAGTTAACAATAGCTATCTTATATAGTGTCCTACATTAAATTTTCAAATTAAAATTCTAAACAAATTTATAAGTTAACCAAATTTTCCTATAAACAATATACCCTAGAGGGGTAAACTAAGTTTATACTGAGTATTTTATAAATACAGAAAACACAGGCATTATGGAGCCACAAAAAACAGAAAAGGAAGACACACATAGAGCTAGGACGGGCAGCCCTTGGAGGTCCTTGGAGCCTAGGGTCTGCGGTAACCATTCATTGTTTCTGCTCGATTGATGATTGCCTATTCAGACAGAGGTAGTTATAAGCCAGAACTTGGAAATATATACGTGGGAGGTAGGAAGCTTTAAGAGGGGCCGGTAAATTGAATTCAATTTGTAAATGCGACTCATATTCCCAGCTAAGTGGGATCCAGGTCCTGGGACTCCAGACCCTGTCGATTGTTCCGCTAAGCGGCATATTATTTATGTTAAACACGCTCTATTATGCAGGTTACGCAGGATAACTGATAACAAACTCAACGGGAACAGGAAGGGGAAGCCCACTCCCCACTTGAACTCAATAGAGTTCAATGGAGAATAAAATTCGATTTTTATGAAGAGAAAGAGTAGAGAAAATTACTATGGAAGTTTAGGGGAAATTGTACTGTATTGTAGAGACTAAATTACTTAAGAGAATTAGTTCCTTTTATTTCTGTATTTTGCAAACCATATATCTCTTTAGGAATGTCCATTACCGTTTCAGTTAAATGGTTGCAACTTTAACGTGACTTCCCGAGCAATATGCAAATGCCAGATGCCTGAGATATTCATATACCCCTTCCCTTTTCGATTCTGGTCTGAGCGGATTCTGTAAAAATCACGCATTACCGAGCCCAAGTGCAGCGCGACCACGTTACCCGTTTTATGGCTCTCGCCTCTCAGCGGCGCCACAATGTTGCATAGCAGCCTGCCCTGGGCATATGTGTACATACATATATCTCTCGATTCCATATTACAAATCCCAGTTCTTGGTTCTCAGTAGCCCGATGCAGTGTCCTTGTGACTTTTAACGCTTCGACTGGGTGCGACAACTGCCAACTGCAAACAGTCGTCGACAGTCTTAATTCAATAAACGCCGACCGGCGATTTGCGCATGCTGCATGCACTCAACACATGTGCAACATGCGGCATCTGCACCCGATGCTTGCCTCAATGTGTTGAGTCCGACTTAACGGCCGCCTGCCTTGCAGGGGTTTCTTCAGGGGGATCTTCAGAACGAGAAGTAGAAGCAGAATCAGAACCAGACCCAGACCGAGACTCAGATCCCAGGCACGGACACCCCAAGCCAAGACCACGTGAAACTCCACTCCACAGCCGAGCGGTCTCCCCGCTCGACGCTGCGTAGGTAATTTCATAAATCTCATTCAAATTGCCTTTGCCTTCCCGATACACAGACTCAAGCGGTGTCCGGAGGGTTGTAAGCATACCGAATTACAGGGAAAAACATATTTTTAATTGCTTGCCGAGATTTCGAAATTGAAAAATGTCTGCGGCGGTATCAATTATGCAAATGCTCCGGCTTCCTCCAAAATAAAAAGGAAGAATGAAGAGTAAAGATGTAAAGTGGAGCTCCCAAAATAAAGCTCAAGTAATTACGCGTCTCTAGGGAACGTTTGAGGGAGTCTCGGCCAAGAGGGGTAGGTGTCGCCATTAGCATTGGCTAATTACATTTCAATTGGGCCTAAGCCCCTCCGACTTGCCGGTTAATTCATAAAAATCTCAATCAATTTCCCCGGGCATTGAGTGCAATTTAAATGTGATTAAATGTGAGCTTAAGGACACTCTGGAAAGAGGGAAACATTTGCCAAATCTAATCAATTTTTACCGCCCACGGTAAGCCTCTGCTCCTGCTACTGCTTCTAATCCAGCTCCCGCTTCAGTTTCAGTTTCTGTTTCGTCCTGTCAGCTCGAATAATTCCACCTTAACACGTGTGTCATTGCGGGGGCGAGGTGTTCCCAAATTTGGGGCCAGTGAAAGCATTTCTCTGTTTGCATGACTGATAAGTTCCCAGGGATGCCGCCCCCATCTCCTGCTTAGAATTCGAAAACTGCCTCTAATTGGCTTTGACTGTCAGCTTGGGCTGACTTGCAATTAGCATTGCTCGACAAAATAGAAAACTTTTAAGTCGGACTGGCCTACAACAATCCACAAACTGTCAACTTTTTCCCTTGCTGGTAAACACTTTTCCTTTCAGATGGGGCCACAAATGGCACATATTTAATGCGAAAAACTCTTTCTCTATCTTGTTTTTTATTCGGGGCAAGGACGCGCTACAAAAAGGTATATAATTGAAACGGATGGCAAACAGTCAAGGTAGAGAGTAGCCTAATTGAATCGTCACAGTTCTCATTCATAAGTTCCGCAAGTCCATTGATGGAAAGGCATATCCACTGAGGGGAAAATACCAGTCGGCGAGCGACAGTGAGTGAGGTAATCATTTTGAAATCATGCGGAATACCCGGCAAACATTGCCCCTCTCAGTCCCTGCTTAAGTTTCAGTTTGTGTAGGTGGCTGCTGGCTTATCAATCAATGTTATTTATGCATATCCCAGCTGACGTGGGGAGAATTCGCTTCATCCTCGGATTCCACACTAAAACATTCATGTACCTTGGAAAACAGAGACTCCAAATCCGAGTGGGATAAGCTTTTAACCACGAATCCGAAGGCTTTAATACCTGGCAGAGCGGTTTGAATTACTCAAGTCAAAAACAACGTCCTAATGTTTCTCAGGAGCTGGCTGCAGTTTTGTGCGAAGCATCTTTCCCTCGAAAAGTAGGCTATAAATAACTTGCAAAATGAATGCTGGCCTTGATTCTGGTTTTAAACTGGTAAAATAATACCTCCCTTAATCAGAAAATGCGTAAATGTGTGGCCTTAAAATATCAGAGAATATTAAGGATAATTGGAATTAGACTAAGAATAACAACAATTAACAATTATTATTCTATTATATAAATAAATTCTGAATGCAGGAATAAAACACTCTCAAAAGACTTGATTAACATCCATATGACAAGTTTATAATATGGATATTTTAGAAATACAACAAAAAACTTGTTGCACTTGTAGTTCTCCTTCATTCTCTCTCTTTTTGCAGTATGTATATAATTCCAGTTGAGTTGTTTAATGCGCAGTGTATCGTAAACACTAGACTTCCCGCAACCAAACTACCTTTTCTTCTACGCCAACCAAAACGGGATGGAAAAGCGGGGTAATGGGAAGGGTGGCAGGAAAAGCAGACAGGCAGACACACGGAAATTGACAACTCGCAGAGCAATAAAGAAAAGTGTCCCGCACACTCACACTCGCACTCGAGCGCACACAGCGGGAGAGGGAAAGCAGGAAAACGGGAAAAGCCGGGGGAGGTAGGCTGATAAGTTTTATACAATTTCCACCCACAGAACTTGAGTTATGCCCCACATAACACAATATTTCCCTAATGTCTTTATTATGTTCCATTGAGTGTAAATATTTGCCTTGTGCCCACACTAACACACCCCCCTTGCACGTGTGTGTGTGTGTTAGCCAAGTTGGTAATTCGTAATACGTGGCACGTGCTTCCCAAGAAGCTGCTGGTGTTGCCGTAAACAAAACAGGATCTAAGGATGCGGTGCGTATGCGGGGACTCACCTTGTTTTTGCCGACAACAGGTACAAAAGATTGCGCTGCAAATA